AAATTAGTGGTGAAGTTTCACCATCTGCCTTAAAATTTGGGTTGAAATCAGATCAGAAAGGTGTCTTAACAATTCCACCAGTACAAAATATGGAAAATGAATACATTTTCGAGATTCCTTTGCTAAAAGCTGGTAAATCATTAAAGTTAGAGGCTGCTTTAACATTAACTGACGCAGAGGCCTTTGAACATGCAGACTTTTGGGTTTATTTAGAACTTGGAAAGGTAAGATGATAAAGTTTCAAGAATTATATTTGCATACAATGGTACAGTATAAACTTAGGTAGCATATACTTAATATTAGATTACCGAACCATCCACACCAAAAATTGTTCACATTTTATCTTTCGATGTCAGAGTGTCAACTGTCTATCGTGGGTTTCCTCAAGGATTTTATCCTGATGTTTTACTTGTTGCAAATCATAAAATGTAAGCAATAATGAAATTTTATAATAGTATTTATTTATTTACAATGAGAAATTTTTTAATTTTTTTCAAATAATATTTTTAAACAATATTGACAATCAGAACACGCAATGAATATTTGGCATGGGTCAAGTTGTTTAAAGAAACTCTTGGTCTTCGATTTTTCATTTGGGATATATCACAAATGGGTCATTTTAGTCTCTTGAGAGATATAACAACACTTTACTCGAACAAGCCAACTACATTAATGAAAGATCTTTCTGGAAAAACCTTGATTGTACTAGATAACGAATTTGAATACGGAGAATATGGGCAAAAAGTTACTGCACGAAATTTTATATTGAAGAATGAGGTATACATCTAAATCATGTTTAAAATAAAATAATAATAATCAGCATATTATTCTGATTATATATTTATTTTAAATTGAAAACTTGATATTCAGTGGATTGAAGCAATACATAAGAATGATAATAAGTTCGTTCAAATTATCAGATTTGTTATATTCGTACTAGAATCAACCAGGTTTAATTTTTTATTTTTTTTTTATTAAAGATTTTATATATTTAAGCCAAGTGCTAGAAAAGATGAATGCGTAAATGTATTGGACGAGCTTTTAACAAATGCTTTTGAAGAATTCAGAGAGAACAAGTCTGAATTTGAAAATGTTCGTGGGTTCACACAATTTTTGATGGGAAAAGAAAAAGATCCTTTGGAAGAAATTCCACCAGATAATACAGAAGAAAATATTTTAGAAGAAAATCATCTAGAAAAAAATATTCCAGAAGAGTATATTCTAGAAAAAAATATTTAAGAAGACAATGATCAGGAAGAAAATGATTCAGAAGAAGATATCTTTGATGAACAATTTGACATCAAGCAACTTACTAACGACCCTGCAAAATTGATTGATGAAATAACTGAAGTACATATTAGACCCAAGCTCTTTTTTAACATGGAAAAGCGAATGCATAAAAAGGCCACAAAAATTGATAAAAATTTGAGAAAGCTTCGTCCTCATTTCCAGCATCATGTAATATATCAATGGCACAATGTAAAATTACGGTTATTTCAATCAAAAAAAAATCGTGCAAAAAAAGGTGGCAGTGTGATTGTTACACCATCCCATGACAACCACGAAACGAAGGGTATTTGTTTATTTTAAAGGTTGAATCGATGAATGGTTTGTTTTAATTGTAGGCTACATCAAAAAAATATTTATATGTTAAACTGTTCAAAATGGGTAATTATTTTTGACCCCAGATCAATTATATATATATGACATAATGTATTCTGGTCTGGATTTAAAAATAATCACACAAATAGATCAAGTTACCAACCTTTAAACTTTGGTTATAAGTGAAAAAATTTTTTATCATTATATAAATTTGAAATTCATTGATTCAATCTCTATCTTTTTAAATAAATAATTTAACAAAATTAAATTTTTAATGATTATCTTCTTTTCAAAAAAAAAAAAAAAAAGATAATTTTTTCAGCAGCATCTTGGTATAAAAGCACAGTAGATTTTATTTCTACAACTATTAATTTGAGAGGGATTATCGCAGGCTTAGGAATTGATAACCATTTCCGTATTTTAGAAATGATTTTTATCACCGGACCATTGGATGATGATGAAGAAATTAATGATATAGATTTGTTCCTAAAGGGTGGTCATCGAACACTTAGTGATAAAGAAAAACAAGTAGCAGAATTACTCAAACAACAGATTATTTATGATATTGCTGTCGAATTATCAACTATATGTGATGGAATTGTTAAGACACCTTTCTGATCTGATTTCAACCCAAATTTTAAGGCAGATGGTGAAACTTCACCACTAATTT